ATTCACGGCATTCATCAGCGCCTGAGAATGGGGTCTATTATCGCCTTCCGAGCAGTACAGCACCAGTCCTACGCCGGGAACACCCTTTTTGTCCAACCATTTGAGCAGCTCTTGGAGGGAACCACTGCCGGGCAGGTGTAGCACACCGTCCGCCGAGGCCTGCAGTGTAAACGCGTCCACCCTTTCCACGGGTTGCCAATTAGGGTCCACCGGGTGCTGAGCGCCGGTAGCGTTAGTCATGTATTTCATGGGATAACAGTCGCCGGAGTCCAGCGCTGAGGCCAAGTGCTCGATGAAACTGGAACTCAGGATCAGCACCCGTTTCAGTCGGTAGGCGCCCAACCATTTGGTGAACGCCTCGTAAAACTCTTTGCGTAACTCCTGGAGACAACGGGAACCACAGATAATGCGATCAATTGGTGCGCATACTTTACGCACGCATACCCGACCCCCAACGAGGGGACAGGTATGCGATGGGTAGGGGGTATACCTTATAGAGAGGTGTGCGCTGTTGTATAATCAGTAGCTTTCGGTCCGCGCTTTCATACACTAATCAAAAATTTGGCAAAAAATTAATAGTAATTAAATCACGAGTTAAACTCCTGTCCCCTCACACATACCCTGAGCCGATGTGGTCAGTGATTGGCCTCCGAAACGGTAGGCGTCCGGACCGGACAGCGGCATCAGTGCCGATGAGTACAGGTGCCCAACGGGTCGACACGTGTTTGCGTCCAATAGTGTCGATACGAGCAAATCGATGGCCAATTGCGGCACATTTCCCACCGAAACGCACCCGTAGATCGCCGTATAGCCCGTCCACTGGTCGCTACCGGCGCTTATCGGTCGCCCCCCGATGGGCACGAATATGCTGTCACTCATTGTCGGCTTAATTGTCGCAAACTTTTTGATTATTTAGTTTTAATTTGGTTTTGATTTTTTGAAGTTTTATTTTTTGACAACTTTTTGTCAATTCATTTGATGTCTGTTTAGCTGTTCATGAAATACGTGCACTTTTGAGCGTTTTATGCATTGGATATAATTTGTCACTATTTGTCACCCCTTTGAATGACCCCTTTGTAACTTATGCTTAAATTGTATGGGTTTTACATGTGATGTGATATCACTCCACTCCTCTGAATTTGGTAACAGTTTTTGTGAGTATTTATGTGCACTGTTTAGTGAACTAACGTTATTTACTGATGTACTCAACAATGTGTGCTTTAAATGTACTGTACTATCGTATGGAAAACTTTGTAGACTTCCAACGGCTTATTCTATGTAATAATAGAACAACAATTTGTCGCCGAATACTCAATTGAGAACACAATAGACGTTACGCCGTGTCAGCACTTATCACAACCCTATCGAACGAATTTTGCTCTCAATTACAGGTATCTGTCATTCAATTCACGAACAAAACGCATGAAAACTAATACCCATTCCTTAGACTCCCTTCACTCGCATATAGCGTAACAGTGTTTGCGTTCGGCTCAGCATTACATAAGACAGTCCAGTGTTGACTACCTTTACATGGATTTCTAGAACATAGACATCAAAACACATGTGATTTGAATGCATGTATTGATTGGCAATCAATGATTGCATTGAGATTTAAATCACAATTGAATTAATTGTTTGCAAACATTATATTCACACCAAACAAGTGATGCATTAATCGGTGAAAAGCCGGACAAAAGTAATCCATAAACTCGTAAACCATTCGCTGATCCCGTGTTTAGTCCAGTGTTTGTGTCATAACTATCACCTCAAAGGATGACAAAAATCATATCCATAGCGATGTCCAGCCATTGCTTAAGACACTTACGACAACTGCGATCGCATTCGTGGCCACGGATTGTCTTCTCGCGGGCAGCCATCGCTTCAGGAGCTACCAGTGCCGCCGCTGTGTCCACCAATCGACGGCACATACACACCACTCGTGCCACGGCTGCCGCCGATGACTACTACAAGACGTTGGGTGTGGACAGGAGTGCCTCCGGGAAGGACATCAAGAAAGCCTACTACCAGTTGGCGAAGAAGTGGCACCCGGACACCAATAAGAATGATCCCACGGCTGCCAAACGCTTCCAACAGGTCTCCGAGGCCTACGAAGTGCTGTCCGACGAGTCTAAAGTACGTACCGATTGAATGGCCCACTCGTGGCCACTGATTATCATGTAATGAATGTGTGGTGTGTTTGGCAGAGACGACAATACGATCAGTTCGGGACAGCGGCCTCTGGTATGGGCGCCGGTGGTGCGGCTGGTGGTCAAGGGTTCAGCGGTTTCCAGGGCTTCCACTCCAATATAGATCCCGAAGAGTTGTTTCGCAATATTTTCGGCGACTTTAGTAAGGGTTTCAATGGTTCCCAGTCTTCGGGCGACGGCTTCGACTTCGAGTACTCGGCGCCACAGGAGTTGCAGTTGAGTCTCAGCTTCAAAGAGGCGGCCAAAGGGTGTACTAAAGAGGTGAAGATCAGTGTCATCGACACGTGTCCCAAGTGTAACGGTTCCAGGTTTGCACACAATATACTTACCGTTCATTTAAAAATTATTATCAGTTTTATAATGAATGCATACTTTTATTGCATTTATTAGTGGTTTAACTGTTTGTGAAACTAATACCCTTTCGTGACCTACAGGTGCGCTGAGGACCATAAGCCGGTTAAGTGTCCCTACTGTCAGGGCACAGGTATGGAAACGATAAGCACCGGCCCGTTCGTGATGAGGTCCACGTGCCGTATGTGTCGCGGGACGCGACTCCACATCAAACACCCGNCGTCGGGAACGTCGTCGCACAGCCGCATACGACTGGCCAATAAGGGCATCCGGAGGGTCGAGAGCTACGGCTTCGGCGACCACTATATTCACCTCAAGATCCGAGTCCCGCAGTACGTCTGTGCCATCGGTGGCGGTGTTGAGCAGTGTTTTAATGCGCGGTTTGTTTTTGTTTTGTGGCAGAAAATTGTCTCAAAAGCAAAAGGCGTTGGCCTTAGTGTTGGCTGAGTTGGACGAGTCAAAGACGAAGGGCACCATTAATGGTATCATTGAGACCACGCGCGGACGGGTAGCTGAGGGCGACTCAGAGCACGAGGAGCTCGTCAATAATATACGCAACGCGTTAGAGGCGGATGCGGAGGAGTCGGAGGACAGGGCGGCCGATAAAAAGGAGTCCTAATAGTGTAGTCAGCGATTAGGTTATGTTTTTGAATTCACTGTTATATAAATATTATCTTAAATTTTGAAATTATTTTTGTGTTTTAATATGTATGGAAAAACACAATTTATTGAACGCTAATTGTATTTCAATTGGTTATTAGTTATCATTATTTTTGCAAATGTTTATGAATGCGATATAAATCTCAATATTATATTAGCGTTGATTCGCTTAGAGTTTAGTTTTTTTTAAAAAGATGTTTCAATTGATTTTAATTTAATTATTCTATTTGTTTTGTTTCAATGACTAGTTATTTACAATACTGATGAAGTAAATGAATGATTATTTCCATAATTCTCTCTCTCTCTCTCACTCCCTCCCTCTCTCTCTCTCTCTCCCGCCATACATTTGACTGACAGATACATGTTTGTAATCATTAAATGATTAAATTATGTTAATTATGTAAATGAATAAAAATATAGTAAAATTGATATTGATACAAAAAAATATGTACAACTTACGGTATTAAATTTCTTTAATGGAAATACCATTTGGTGCCGATTATGAGGCAGTGTTTGGCAGTGAAGACGAGGTTACCCCCAAACATATCCAGGTATTTCGAGTTCAATCAAACCGTGGCCGACGGTATGACAGACGCGCAGGCGGTTCGCCACATCCGCGGTCTGAACAATCTGTACGAACAGCTGGACAGTTATGTGGAGACCAACGGTCAGGTCAAACAAACTGAGGAAAGCCCTCCAGACGTGGCTCACCTTTCTGTACGCCCGCACCGGTCAGAGCAGAGGATAGTTCGCGCGACAATCATACTACCGGTGCCCTCTCGACGGGTGTCCCCTCTGTCCATCAGTTGAGTAAGATTTTAGTTAATAAAAAGTATTTTTAGTTCAAAACTTTAGTTGTGTTTCGTTTATATGGTATGGATTTTATGAGGTTTTAGTTTATTATGTGTGTTGAGGGAACGGTATATTTAATTGAATACATTTCTATTATAGAAAACTGAAATTTGGTCTCAATTATCACTACAACTTAAAAAGCATTTGTCTATTACTTTAAATTACTATAAAATGAGTTAATTGCAACAACTATTTGATAAAAATTACAAGTTTATAACTTATAAATTATAAGTATAGGTAAATACTTTTTGCTGACTCTGAATGACTAGTTACTAAACTCAACATAAAATTTAAACTTAAATTTTTTTCAATGACACTCTCAATCAATAAACGCCGGAATACTAGGGCACTGACCGGAGATAACTGTCCACCTGTTTACTGGTAACCCTTATATGCGGGTCTTTTTGAATCATACTAAACACCAATTGAATGATGGGATGGCTTTCCAGGAACTTACCGGTTATCACGAGATAGTCGGTCACCCATTTGCGGGGATGGTAGAGGTCGCTAAACAGCATCGCGTCGGCATAGCATCTGGGGGGCTCCAGACACCTGGTGCCTATCAACGACTGGCCCACCGTTATGCCCAATGCATACACATCTGCCTGTTTGGTGTCGATGTCTATGGGCCAACCGGCCACCTGCCAGAACTGGGCCATCACCCCAATGAGCTCGGGGGCCATAAAACACTCGGTGCCGGCGACCTCCCGGCTAACCATTGGCCGACTCGAGAGTCCAAAGTCTGTCAGTTTGTAGACATTGAGCTGATTGGAGAGACCCGTGCGGAACAGTATGTTATCCGACTTGATATCCATTTGACTGATCTGATTGTCGTGCAGATAGAGCAGAGCGCCGGCTATCTGTTGCAACCAATTGAGTGTCTCATCCAAGTCGAGGCACTGGTAGATTTTAATCAGTGCGTTAAGACTGCCGTCCATGAGCTCCATGAATATGAACGCAAACAGCGAATGAAAGTCCGTCTGTGTGTCCCTCACGTGTATCGTGAACTCCATGGCCACGATATGTGGGTGCGATAGGCCCCGCACGTGCTCCACATCCCTGAGCATAAAGTTGACAGTCTTCTCGAGGGGTTTTCCTAAGGCTTTGAAGTTTTTGATGGACAGCATGGACAGATTTGAGCTCCCGGTGCAGATCCAACGACTTAAAAGTTAATATATCCAGCATCGGGTTGGGCTGGTAGTGTGGGTGATGAACCACGTAATCGTACTCAGTGGTCAAGATTAATAAATCGGAGTATATTGTAGCAAGCACCCTCAGAATCGAGACACTAGTGGCCGCTTTAGCAAAGTGCTTGATTAAATGGTCGACCAAAAAGTTGTCAGGTTTTGATAACTCATCCGACACGTATTGCTTCATACCTACTTCCATTAGTTGTAACTAGCACATTTAAAATTAAATTCGGAACCATATATTTGAATTATATATAATTTCTGTAAGACAGAGCTATCTCTCTAAATACAATAGTTGTTTATAAACTGTTGGTAATTGTATTAATCCTATGAATGTGTGATAGGTGATTTAAGTTTATGCATTCAGAGATAGCTCTGTCTTACAGAAAGACTATCATGTATACAGTACATAGTGCTCCAAANATGGCACAGACGTACTGCGGGACTCGGATCTTGAGGTGAATATAGTGGTCGCCGAAGCCGTAGCTCTCGACCCTCCGGATGCCCTTATTGGCCAGTCGTATGCGGCTGTGCGACGACGTTCCCGACGGTATCTTAAGGGTCACGTCCTCGTAGAGTCCGTTCACGGATACCGTTCCTCCGAGTATTGCCTGCGACAGTGATATGTCGGCGTCGGTGTGGATGTCGGCGCCGTCGCGCTTAAAATAGTCACTGCGGGCGACCCTAAACGTGATGTACAGTTCCTTATTGCCGATTTGCATGCGTTTCGCGTGTCCGTCGTCCACACCCGCCGGCACCGGGATCTGAATGGTCTTCCGTTGTTGCGTCTGTCCCTTACCCGAGCACTCACGGCACGGGTGTTTGATGTGGAGTCGCGTCCCGCGACACATACGGCACGTGGACCTCATCACGAACGGGCCGGTGCTTATCGTTTCCATACCTGTGCCCTGACAGTAGGGACACTTAACCGGCTTATGGTCCTCAGCGCACCTGTAGGTCACGAAAGGGTATTAGTTTTACAAACAGTTAAACCACTAATAAATGCAATAAAAGTATGCATTCATTATAAAACTGATAATAATGTCTAAATCAGTGGTAAGTATAATGTCTGCAAACCTGGAACCGTTACACTTGGGACACGTGTCGATGACACTGATCTTCACCTCTTTAGTACACCCTTTGGCGGCCTCTTTGAAGCTGAGACTCAACTGCAGCTCCTGTGGCGCCGAGTACTCGAAGTCGAAGCCGTCGCCCGAAGACTGGGAACCATTGAAACCCTTACTAAAGTCGCCGAAAATATTGCGAAACAACTCTTCGGGATCTATATTGGAGTGGAAGCCCTGGAAACCGCTGAACCCTTGACTACCAGCCGCACCACCGGCGCCCATACCAGAGGCCGCTGTCCCGAACTGATCGTATTGTCGTCTCTGCCAAACACACCACACATTCATTACATGATAATCAGTGGCCACGAGTGGGCCATTCAATGGGTACGTACTTTGGACTCGTCGGACAGCACTTCGTAGGCCTCGGAGACCTGTTGGAAGCGTTTGGCAGCCGTGGGATCATTCTTATTGGTGTCCGGGTGCCACTTCTTCGCCAACTGGTAGTACGCTTTCTTGATGTCCTTCCCGGAGGCACTCCTGTCCACACCCAACGTCTTGTAGTAGTCATCGGCGGCAGCCGTGGCACGAGTGGTGTGTATGTGCCGTCGATTGGTGGACACAGCGGCGGCACTGGTAGCTCCTGAAGCGATGGCTGCCCGCGAGAAGACAATCCGTGGCCACGAATGCGATCGCAGTTGTCGTAAGTGTCTTAAGCAATGGCTGGACATCGCTATGGATATGATTTTTGTCATCCTTTGAGGTGATAGTTATGACACAAACACTGGACTAAACACGGGATCAGCGAATGGTTTACGAGTTTATGGATTACTTTTGTCCGGCTTTTCACCGATTAATGCATCACTTGTTTGGTGTGAATATAATGTTTGCAAACAATTAATTCAATTGTGATTTAAATCTCAATGCAATTATACATGCATTCAAATCACATGTGTTTTGATGTCTATGTTCTAGAAATCCATGTAAAGGTAGTCAACACTGGACTGTCTTATGTAATGCTGAGGCGAACACAAACACTGTTACGCTATATGCGAGTGAAGGGAGTCTAAGGAATGGGTATTAGTTTTCATGCGTTTTGTTCGTGAATTGAATGACAGATACCTGTAATTGAGAGCAAAATTCGTTCGATAGGGTTGTGATAAGTGCTGACACGGCGTAACGTCTATTGTGTTCTCAATTGAGTATTCGGCGACAAATTGTTGTTCTATTATTACATAGAATAAGCCGTTGGAAGTCTACAAAGTTTTCCATACGATAGTACAGTACATTTAAAGCACACATTGTTGAGTACATCAGTAAATAACGTTAGTTCACTAAACAGTGCA